AGCATATGTATTTTGCTCGATAGGTCTAATCTACTGCTGGTTCATTAGGTTCAACTGGAGGTTTATAACAATTCTCACAAACTTTTGTGGATTCTGGGTCAACTATTGCTGCTATTTGAGCTTCGGAAGTAATGTACAAGTCGTTATTCCATTGGACTAAGTCCAATGCAGAATCTTGAGTATAAGCTGTTTGTAGGTCTAGAGTCTTATTTTCCAGGAGAAGCTGCCATATGGGATGTGAAACTATGCCTGTAATGATGGCGTCTCACATAGCTTCATTGCCACATTCTCTGAAGTTACAGTTCTACCTCAGCTTTTCCAACTTCCTGAAAAACTTGTCCAGTTACTCTCCTGGCTTCTCTCATTTCATGAGCCAACAGTTGCTCCATGAAAACCTCATTAGATGTTTTAATAAATAAGTTATCCAATTTTTGTATAGCCATGACAAAATCTGTACATCCTTCTATATATGTGAACACACTGGAACTCATACAGCCCAAGAGGACCTGGTACTTGTTAGGAATTCTTTCCTTGTAATCGTCAAAATAGTTCAACAGAATGGTTTGCCAATGGCAATAATGTCTGGCAGCTGTTGGTGAACAAGGGGCAAAATCCAAATGCTTTGGCTTCCATGCCTTTCCATGTTCATTTTATATTCATTTATCTAAATAAATTGTGATAAGTAAAACAAAACTCAGAACAGAAGTAAAAGTAGTAAGCTTTATTTAACTAAATGAAACTCAGCTACAAAATAAAAGAGGTGTAACTCACAGATTATATAGACCACACAGGTGAGTCTATTGTTCATACAATATGAGCATAGAATACCACACTAAGTACATGTTAAATGTACTTCATCTTGGAGGTCAAGCTCCCAATATGTAATTAGATTGGCTACTAGGATGTGCTGAAAGGTTCTCAAAATTAAACCAAATCTCACCTTTTTTTGTGGGTCTAGAACTTTTCACTTCACCATTGAACCTGGATATATGTGGAAATATAACCTTCAAACAAGGGATCAGCATAACAAGCAATCAACACATCCATAAGTGATGTGACCCCTTTCCCATTTAATCAAGGTAGTAGTAATAGGTAAAATTTCTGAAGTAGTTGCTATTACAATAGTAGTTAGATTCAAGTGCAGCAGATATTCCAGGCCTTACTTAGTAACATCCTTTTGCAAAATTTGGCCTCTTATCTACATTTATTGCATTTTGATTTCCAAGCTGAACGGGTCTTCCCACAGGTGAGAAACATTCCTGAACCAGCAAATCAGCAGCTGATGTTTGGTTTTGTGTTCGTCTTTTCTGATTTTCACATATCTACATATTGAGAAAAATCTGGTGTTATATAGGTCCCCCAGTCCAAGACCCATGATGACTATTGGCTAATACCTGCCCAGTATCGTTCATATGCAAATGTAGTGCCACCTACTCTAAGTAGAATGTTGTCTCTCAACAGCTCATTGTGGAAGAGGATGTAACTCCTGGTGTTTACAGTACCACATGCAACCAACTCAGAGTCTATTATCAGTCTGACCTGATTCTCTGTTACACTTCCCCCAGATCTCCTGATCACAGCCCCAACATGCAGTGGGCAGGCATTTCCTTCTGGTTTTCATTTGCTGGGGAGGTACTTCATCCTCATTGTTGTCACCGCATGGGGAATTACTTCATTCTCAGTGTTGCCACCATGCGAAGGAGGTACTTCATCCTTAGTGTTGTCACTATCCATCTCCACCATGGCAGGAGGCACATCAAAAATCCAGGAATCTACTAACTCCCCAATGCTTGTGGATGAATCATCGGAGGCCGGAAATCTTTAACATGATATGGCACGCCATCAATCAGGACAGATTGTTGTGCAAGGGGTCACCAAACAAAGAACCATGTTGACCCACAGTCTGCATTATGACTGCAGCCATAATGTGTAATATCCATCCCTACCCTGGACCACGTACTGCAAACCCCTAGTCCTACATTCTTCCAGTGCACTGATGCCAGATCTATAGACTGGTATTCAGGACACTTCTGAATCATCACCTTGACAGTTTTGCTAGGTACAGAGGAATCAACTCACCTTACAAAGTAAGTAGTGCACTTAACACCAGGGTAACCACTATGATGATGTAATTTCATTATTTTACATGATTCCAACTCTCCTGTGGCTGCACCATATGCTGAGAGGAGAGGTTCAGTGTCCTTCTTCAACAAATCTAACCACCTCTGTGGAACTCTGGTATGTTCATCAGTTTTATTTTGGTTGGAATTTGCCAGCCATACATCCATGTTGAGGCCATACTCTGCAATTAGTGCATGAAGTGTCCCCAGTCATCTCTGCACAAGCATCTCACACGCTGCCTCCATTTTCAGATGTGCCTTTCCAGTTAAGGAGTTGTTGATCCAGCGGTACATACATACAGAATCAGTGACCAGATGCATTCCACTGCAGGGCCAAGTTTGTGCCCTTTAACATTGCAAGTTAATAAGTTGAGCATCACCATTGTGATGAAGCCATTATGCATCCTCCACAATATCTCAATTCACTTTCAGTGCCACCCCTGTGGTCAGGGAACTTGTATCCACCCACACTGTCATTTCCTGACCGCTCACACACCAGCCTCCTTTTGCAGGGTCTTTTTGAGGCACTCTTGTCCCCATCTCATGGATCATGTGCTTCAGGGGGACATCAACAGTTTTGTCGTCTCAACCTTCGTTTACTGCAGCGGCCTGTCATTTTAAGAATGCCACAGTTGCCCTAAGCCAACCACATACCAGAAGGTGGCCTACAAGTTTTCTGCAGAGAGATTACAACATATTACAACACTTGATAGCATTTGGAATATCTAGGAACTTACTCCCTCATTTCCATCAAAGCAAACTGTGTTCCCAGACCACCCACCCCTCAGACTTGCAAACCAAGCACTTTTGCACCATTGTCAAGTCTCACGGGGTTCTTGTAGATCAGTCCAAAATCAAATATATACTTCCTGATGCATGCCACGGAAACTGCACTTTCGTTGACAAAGAGGTAATCAATGTATGCCGAAGTGGCATCTTGGATTGCTTCATCCTGTGACAGTACTGTCTTGATAATTGCTTTCATTAAAAGAGGCACGACATTGAAACTAAAGCCTAATTGTGTAAGGCAGTATCTCCACCCTTTCAGTAAGACAAATCTGGAAAGGCCACAATGACTGGTGTACATGGACTTGTAGGTATACTCTCCTAACGTCCAACACCAATACATTGCACCCACGTTGTTGCCATTCCTTTAGCTTGTCTGCACAGACATCTGCACTTGCTGTGAATGCATCTACATACTTGTTTGACTCTCTGTAATCCATTACAGGGTATACCTTTTTCTTGTTCTCTTGGATAATGGCCATCATTGGAACTAGACCCTTGGGAGGTCTGAGATCCACCTCAGGATATGGTATGAGCCAGCCATTATCCAACCATACTTCTAACTCCTGGTTATATTCCTTATGTGTTAGCTTGGACACAGCATACTCTGCTATCTTGTTTTGTAGGCCCATTGGTGCCTGATTTTCAGCCCATGATGCTGTCCAGACTTTCTTTTTCTGATTGAACTTGACACTAAAGTCCAGTTTCTCTATGGTGAAAGCCACACACAGGGATGGTTTTCTGCCGAAGAACTCCACTGCATCCAAAGGAGTAATTCCTACTTCCCCTAATCCTGATCAGGAGGTTGAAATGAAGTGGCTTCTCTCGAGCCACCAGTATATCAATCCTGACTAGACTTCCACCGTGCAACCAGAAAGCAATGATTCCAATCACACAACTGGCTCTGGTCTCCCCATCTATCATTGTTATGCATACAGGCCCTTTCATTCAGAACTGGCATATCTATCTGCATCCACAGATTCACTGTACCGTATGTGCCACTCAGTGATGTGTTTGCATGCCATGAACGAATCCATAGCAAAGGCTGTAATTAAGGCAGTCTTTTTCTGGTCAACATCAGATTTTGCTTTGTTCTCCAGTTGTTGGTAAACTGCAAATGTTCTACCCGTAAGTCTCAAAGAGATCACATGCTCCAAAGACTTCACTTCACATAGCCTGCAAATAAGTTCCAACTTCTCTATCCATTCAACCACTGGAAGACCAGACACTGATCCATCAAATTCTGGAATTAACTTTAAATTGAATTCGGTGTCTGCCATCATTTGTCAATCACTGAAATAGCTTGTGTTCATCTTGTCTAGTCTTCGCATATCCACATGCTGAGAGTGCCTCTTTCGACTGAGAAGACACTGGTGTTATATAGCTCTCCCATTCCCGGATCCACACTGACTATTAGCTAATACCTGCCCAGTATCATACATTTGCAAATAGGCAGTGCCACCTACTCTAAGTAGAAAGTCTTCTCTCAACAACATTTTGTGGAAGAGCATATAACTCTTGGTGCTTACAGCATCACATACAACCAACTCGGAGTTTCTTATTGGGCTTATTCTGTTATAGTTTTCAAATAATCTGTCATTACTTGTACATATGTCCACATAGTCACTGAAAAATGAGTTTTTCTTTTTTATGCTTTTTGGTGAACCCAACTGATTTTGCTTTAGTGCATTTGATATTTAGCTAAGATTGTTTTTAAGGGAATTAATTTACAAATGACTGTGCCACTCTCACTAGAAAGTTCCCCTGTGAATATGACTCATTTCCATGAATTAGATCAGTTATGATAATCTTATTAAAGAGAAAAAAAATGAAACTTTATAAATGATAAATGCTCACCAAAAACAAACATTTGAGAGAGACTATTTAAACTTAAATTACATAAAATCCAAAAGGATACTAGATCAGGGTGATGAATAATCAAACAAATAACATACAAATTTGTTTATAAATCTTTGTCATAAATTAAGTATTTCTCTGTGATACATTTAGTGCACTAGCAACTTTACTGAATAAAATTGTGTGTTTTTACTCTTTAGGAAAATATTCTTTGATTTAGATATGTTTGTCTTACAGGTGAGCAAATATGAAAAGTTTGGCTATGGCTCGATGATCAGTGTCTTTGCTGCCACAGCCGCTGGAGTTCAAGCCCTGCAGTCTACAGGTCAGTCTGCTTCCAATTATATTTATTTAAAAATAAAAATCTGTAAAGAAAAAAAATGACTGTCTCTAAAATGTTCCTGGCATTATATTTTTCAGCTCATCTCTTGAAATGACATTATACTTTTTGTTTTTTTTGTCCCTTTCTAAACTAGAATATCACAGTCTACCAGATTCATGTGATTGAGCATTAAAATCTTTGACTATCTCCCTGTGATCTTATTGAAATTTACTTGCCACCTACAATGAAAAAAGCATGATCACTTTTTAATGTAAGGGAAACTGTTTAATGATCAAATACAGTACTGGAACAATGTTGCTTTTTCTAGTGCACCATCCAGAAATTACCCTAACCCTGAGCTACTGGTCAGGTATTTTCAGTTTATTGTGTTATTCTAATGATTATTAGATTAGCAGAAATGGTTATATTTTAAATTATTCTAAAGGCTATTGACTAAATGATGGATCAGAATGTGATTATTTTGTAGCTATTGTATAGGTTATTTGTTAACTTTTAACTTATTTATTATTGATTACTTTGGCTATTTGGTATATTCATTAATTATTCACTGTTATTTATTATTATTAAATTTACTTAGTTTGGGTTATGCATTCATTTATACAGTTTCTTAATTTGTTTATAATTTTCCTTTTGGGAGGTTATCTTATTTTTTTAGTTTAAAGTATTGGATTTGTTTAAAGTATATTTCATTTTCTGTGTTGTATATAGTGCATATATTTGCATTTTTTTGGTGATGTTTTACAAGGGATTCATTTTTAGTTTTTGATTTTTAAGTAACAAAATAAAAATTTACTTTCATGTCTGCATTTTCAGATAAGTTCTGATCATTTATTTAGTAACTTAATGTATACTTTAGCTCAAAACCATAATTGCAGTGTACATTGTGAAGCTCATTTAACACTGGCACTCATTGGCATTTAGGGCATCTTTAGTAATCACATTTCCCTGGGCATAAAGCTCTACTGAGTACACCTTCTTCTATACTCTATCCTGAAAGATTTTACTTGTGGCAGACTTCAGAGGAGTAACATAGAACCTTGAACCTGCTTGATTCCATCGTATATACCCTTAATGTTGCCTGTCAACCGAAGTCTGTATCTGGGAGCAAAACTGGAGCTATTAGTAGTTAATGCATCACCTAGTGCACTATTTGTTGTAAGCAGTCCTTGAGGACCTGTAAGTTCTTTTCACTGGGGCAGGTTTTATATGATTCCAGAGTATGACTCTTCTCTTCAGTGATGGCTGCCATTTCTGTTGATTTGCTTGTCTTTTTGCCAAAGGTGGCTAGGGCAGTATTGTAGGTGATCTCTCTGAAGTGTTCCTATTTTTCATGGGTATGAGCACTAATCATGTCTCTGAATGCTTCCTCTGTTTTCTAATGTGTGTCTTGCTGATATTAGTGCAAAGTTTACCAACTTCTTAGCAGATAGTTTCACTTTCTTAAAGTAGTGGTTGGTGTCACAATCTGTACTCTGGAAGTTGTTTATGAGCCAAACATTGGTTAAACTAAAGCACATTATGACAATCAGGTCAAGCTAGTGCCAATGCTTGGATCATTTGTTTCTCTCAAACTTTTATTGGATTTTCATGTTGAAGATCCTGTTGCTGATACAGAGGCAATGATGGCAGCAGAGTTCCCAATACCATGAAACTAACCAAAATCACAACTCAATAGACTAAATAATATCCAATAACCTAAATCTCATAAACTTTAAATTTACAAAAAGATAAATAAGAATAATAAATAAACTAAAAAAATAAATAATTATCATTGCCAAATTAAAAGTCAGGGCTAATAATGATTTAAAACATTAGTCCTACACAAAAGAACTGGGAAAGATAAATTTCTCTATTACTGAATTTCTATATATATATATATATATATATACATTAGCCTCCATGTGTGTGTGTATGGATATATATATATATATATATATATATATATATATATACTATTTTCAAAACCAAATTCATTAAGATGTTTTAATGTTTTTGTCCTGTTTTAGGTTTTGTCCAGTTCCAGTTGGTTGATACTTGGTCAGCCTTGGAATGCCCTATATCTGATACTCCACCAATTCGACCAAAATGCTGGCCCACTGAAGTTATTGACCGATCATGCCAAAAGGTATCTTGTTCATTTTTATCTCTTTATGTTCACATCATCTACATTACCTCGTTTGTCTGAATTTCTTACAATTTTTTTTTGTGAAATACATTGGTTTGATGCTCTGGCACACATCAACAGGGATGTTTTTTAGCCAAGGATCATTAAGGGTTTCAGGTCTCTCAACATTATACCTCTTCTCCACAGTGACCCAGCCAATAATGATTGGATATCAACTTGTGTACCATACAAAAGCTACAACTATTCTCATCATGCAAGCAATCCACTGCAACTCATACTTGACTGGCATTTTATAATCCATTAACAAAATCTTCCAGTTCACCAGCTTCTGTGCTCTTCTATAAAGAAGGAAGTGGACACAAAATCAAAACATCAACCACAATTCCCCACTTTATCTTGCTGACTTCCAAGCTCTTTTTCCTTTTAGCCGTAACCACCTAGATGCTTCTTCTGCCGCCATAGATATTGAGTGAATGGCCCTGTTTTTTACCAAGCCCATCACTCCTAATTTTGACAGTATTTTGCAATATAACCACCCAGCAAAGTCTCTGCATCCTATTTCAATCAGTTCGCACTGATAATAAAAGGATGTCAATATAAAACATAATAATCATGTGAGAAACGAGAAGATTTACCTCCCGCAAAGCGAATTTGCATGGTGTGTTAGGTCCTGTTGAAAGATCCTGACCGGCAGTAAAAGAGAAATGGATTATTACGAAATTCCCATATCGCGGGTAGACGTACAAAGGAAAAATAACAATAAAAAAGACTAAGAATTCAAACAGGCTTGAATTTGTAAAACAGGAAGTCTCAGGCGAATGAGAAGTAAGTCTCATATGCAAATTTTAGTTGCCCCCGATGCAGACATAAATAGCGAGTCTGGGAGGAAGACGAGAGAACGCATTGTTGGCGTGATGGCATACATACTAACAAGATTGAGAGTATAGGAGGTCACTAGCAACAGCTCAGTTGGTAGACCAGAGGACTGGACAAAAGCAAGTACTTTAATCTATTTCAATCATCGCAAACAACGGGCGAACTGAATTATCCACAAATCATAAATAATAAATTAGAATAAACAGCAAAGAATCATTTTATAATTCTGCTTAGATTTCATATCTTAGCACACAGAAATTTCTGGTGATAATCTATATAAAGGGAAACTGGTATTTTAGATAAAAAATATACAAAAAAGCACATGAAAAATATGAAGAAAAATAGTTTTATCAAAGAAAGAAGCATATTCTCTGAAAAATAATGATAGTGACAAAAAGTTATTAAGAATGAAGAAACAACAGTCAGACATTGCAAAAATAATGAGCAAAAAAAATAAGTGAAGGACAAGGAAAGAAATAAACTAGAGGATGTGTTATTAAAGAGAAGAGGAAAGAGTTTTAAAGATGAGGGAAGGAAGAAGAAAATTAAGGGTGAGAAGAAAGAGGAGCAGAAACAATGCTGAAGAAACAGCAGAGTAAGAAAAAGAAGTAGAAAAAAATGTTGAAAGAAGAAGAAGAAAAGATAAACAAGAAATGAAATGATCCTAAGACAGCAAAGGAAAAAAAGCAAATGGGAGATGAGGAAGAAATAACAGATTATTAAGACAGACAGAGTTGGTGAGGTGGGGAATAATACCAATTTCTGAAAAGACTCCAGTGAAATACCCAGCTCTTTAGAGAATCATTTCAGAGATTAGAGAATTAACTATTTCAAATTGCATCAAATGTCATGCACTGGATGCTAGATATTTATTTTTTTTTTTTTTTTTTTTTTTTGGTTTAAGTTTTTATGTTATTTTGATTTTTTTTAATTTTGTATTTTTATTATATTGTGGGATCTAAGATGTCATTTTTATTCAAGTCAGGAGAAGACTGATTGAATTGGAATTTACTATAATGATTTGTGGCACAAGTTCGACATTGAGCCAATTATCCTGGCCATCAATTTCATTCAATGTTGATTTATTCAATTATCATTAGCATCATTATTGCTATTACTTTTGTATTAGAATATTTCTGCCTATGATATTTGGGGTGAGGCAGCAAGTTGATAGGTGGTGGATGATAGATATTTAGCTTCCAAAACATAAAGATAGCATTTTGCAGACTTTTTGTTCCTTCTACTGTCATATCAGTCTTTCTCTCCTTTCCTTTTTTTCTTACCACATCTTATCCTCTCACTTTTGTTTTTTGTTCATATTCTTTCTCTCACATGTCATTCTTTTCAATTTTTTCTTATTCTTTAATCTGTTTCTTAGCTTTTTATCTAACATCCTTTCTCTATCTTTGTTGTCCTATTGATATTTATTAAACTTAGTATAGTATGGCACAGGGCCAACTCAGAAGGATAAATAGGAGTAGGAAGACGACTTATCCTGTCATGCTCTATCTCTACACAAGTTTGATCAGACCAAAAATAGAGTATTGCTGCCATATCTAGGAGCTGCCCAACACTCATTTTCCAGCCTTGACAGAGTTCAGAAGCATTTATGCAGCCTTGTGGACTTTGAATTATTTTCAACACCTTTCCTACAGATGAAATTCCATAAGCCTATCTATACTCTTTTGCTATTTCCATGACAAACAAGCTACATTCCTTAGTTGCACCAGTTCAGTCCTATACACCTTGGCTCCATTATGCCAGGTACACAGGACTGACTCATCCTCATCTCTTTCATAATTCTGTCATTAAGAAGGAAGAGCCACTTAAATAGCTTCTTCCCACAAACCACTACTTTATAGAACAGACTCCCGAGAATATCTTCCTCAATCACTAAAATCTTAACCTCTTCAAATCTAGGGTCAACCATTATCTGTCTTACATATCCTCATAATCCATACTGACTTCCTCCTCTTACGTCTCTATAAGAACCTCATTCAGTGAACCTCTACCTTGAGTGGCTTTTGAATCTTGTATTGGCTGAACATTTAGTAAGAAAAAACTTTCTTCCCCATCGTATTTTCTCATCTCTTACACACTCATTACCATAATTTTTCTCTTTCTATCAAACATTCAGTTCACTTCTTTATCTCTTTAGCTTCTTTCTCTCACAGTATCTCGATGCAGTATATAATTCTTTTTCTCTCTGTATTTCCCTCTCTTTATGTTCATTTCTTCTTTTTATGCAAGATTTTCTCTCTCACATTGTCTTTTCAACCACTTTTTTCACCCTCTCTAATTTGTTTGTATCTTTTCTCTTCCCTTCATTCTACTCTCTTTTACTCAATATTATAAAACAAACATGACTGACTATTTAAGTCAACTGCAAATGAATAATTAGTGTCTTCAAAATTAATCAAACAGAATTAGAAAAATTATGAAAAGTCATACAGAAAAAGTTTATTAATAATTTTTTCAAGGTAAAAGGAATTTTTTTTTTTTTTTTTTTTTGCAAGTGGTAAGGAGGATAGCATTTTGTTTTAGATGTGGAAGATTAATTTGTTTATTTTTGAAAATGTTGAGATCATTTTCTTTACTTATTCTTGACAGTAAAAGGGATAATTTGTTTTTGCTTTTCTATTGAGATAAAGGTGGCATTTTTCTTTGTTTAAGGAATGGGCAATTTTTAAGATAGAATTAAATTTGGGGGAAAGTAATTTTCTTTATAACTATTGCCACAAAATTTCTGCCTTTATTTTATAGAAGAGTACCAGCTAGATTTCATGACACATTTTTAATTTGTGGTTTAAATGCTGATACAACATGTAAATTAAAAAAGTTTCATGAAATAAAAATCCTTGAGAAACACTTCAGAGACTGCAGAATCCTATAAAATGCTTTAGTCTTTCTCATGTTATGAAGCCTTGCACATACTAATAACTGACAGCAATTCATCTTAAAGTATAGCAAATGAATTGACCTAGCTAATAAGTCAACCTCAAGATGTATGCTGTCAATAAATTGTTAATTTTAAATTCAGGTTTCAGTCATTATCACATTAGTCAAACTTCCTTATGACAGTTGTAACAAATGAACACACAACATAGTTAACATTGTGGACTGATTGTCATAAGCAGACTCAAAATTATAATAAAATGACATAAAAATCTAATATATATTATATATGAACACTAATTCCCACATATTACTTTCATTTGATGAACAGACATTCAGTCAGTTACCATGGTAATAATAATAAATTGCATTACCTGGAAACACCATCAACTCAACATATCAATAAAATGTAATCCAGTAAGAGTTTATACAGCACTTCATCTTACTATAAGAATAGAATAATATTTTGTACAAAATAGCTACAGTTTAGAAATCTATTAGTGTGTTCCTTTATTCATCAAGCATTTTCATTATTCTATAAAAGAATAAGTAATTGAAATCATTTCACCTACCATAAATTTTAATAGAAATGTTTAGAGCTAACCTTCTGTAATTACTGTAGATGTTGCAAAGCAAGTTTTAGGTACACTACTCTTCCTGTTTTCCCATTTCATTTCTCAAAGCTCCAGTTGCTACCTGGCAAAGTTCACCTCTTTTAATCAACTATGTCTCCACTTTCGATCTCCATCCCTATATTAATTAAGTTCTGTTAACAATTTACTAGTTGATTGATTGCAAAAGCAATAAAGACTTGAGTAAACATCAAAGAAACTTCTAACACTTTCTTCATGTTGTGCAAAAGATAGCATCTGGAACTCTTGCAAATTCTTGTATTAATCATTAGAGATATAAATTTCATTAACTAACATCATGCACACCTGCTTCTGATATCAAGTTTTATAAACTTTTACATGTTTACAGGAAGGGCAATTTGGTGATTTTAGTCCTTAATCTTTATCTAGATATATGCTTCTTTTTAGTCATTTTTCTTAATTTTTTAAATATTTTTCTTAATTCTCATAATAAATTTCTTTGTTTTGGAGCATTTACCAATGTTTTAAAAGACATTAATACCAAATTCATCTTTATCTGATAAGTGCTCCATAAATATGCACTTGCGCCAATGTGGGTATCATCTGATACCTATGTAATATAATTTCTTTGATTTTGTTTAGCAACTGGTTCGCTTATCCACACTGCTGTATGCATTTCCTGCTGTCTATGAATTATTAGCCAATGAAGAACTTGCCAACAAAGAAACATACAGTTTCAGGGAAATACCCCAAACTTTAGCTGTAAGTCACAATTTTGCTCTAATCTGTAGCCAGTCATCAAGTGAATAATTTATTACAATTCAAATAGCTAATTATGGAAAAATACTTGTTCTCATGACCTATGATGATTAATCAGTAAACTTAAAAGAAACTTTCTTGACTTTACATAATCATTCCAAAGAAAAGAAAGATAAATAAAGCAAAATAATGAGAGAAACATCAAAGTCAATTCTGGTACAATTTTAAGTACATTTTTAAACAAGCATTCTTAACCTGTTAGGTTTAGGTACATTTGTAACCTTGAGGGAGATACCTTTCTACTGATCTGTCCTCCATAAGGTATGACACTACTTCTTCAGCAAGCTGGTGAGCTCTGTCACTGCCTAACTGATTGATCTTCAGATTCTAAAGAATATGACAAATTTAGCAACAGGAACTAACACTTTTATCTGCCAATGGTGCCTACATTAAGAATATTTTATGGGAAATTGAACATCACATATTAGGAATTAATTTGCCAATCTTTAATCATGAGATATTTCAGATGTCTGTAGTTTTCTGGCTCCTAGCATGCTAGACAAATGTTCACAATCTTTTTTATTTTTCCCATAGAACTTCATATTCCTAACATTTAGTCTCTACAAACTTGTAAGAAATATATTACCTGATTAGCTATTCCTTCCAATCATATTTGAAAATAGGATTTTTTTTATATTGCAAATACTATCTCTGCTAATTTGTCTCAACTCCAGGACTTCATGGATCGACTCATCATCCTTAACAGTCCATCAAAAATCCATTCCTTGTTTAATTATGAAGAATCTCATGGCTTTGGATTAAGGTAAAAAATCTTCATTTTTATCAGGATTAATATTTTAAATGCAGGTAAAATCTTCTTTATATGTTTAATTTGTCCTAATGTTTTGACCTATGAGATGAATTCACATGAAGCAATTAATAGAATCAATTAAATTAATTATAATAAATACTTATCCTTTCAAATATTTATATTTATAAAAAGCATGTTTTAGTAAAACACATTCTTGCTGCATATAATACCAAAATTGTTAAGGTTAAAAATAATTTTGATATTTTTTTCATTGATTGATTTCATAATTACATTAAACAGTTTCTTGGAAAAATAGTTGTCCAAAGTTGACAGCACAGATTTTTATCTTTTTCTCTATACAATTTCCTATGGCTAGCAATCGCATTTTACAGAGGAGTGACTGATGTAATTTATTCCCTGTTTTATAGATTCAGAAATATGGCATTGTATTATACTCAAAACAATACAGTAAATTGAAGAAAATAATATTTGTTTAATTCTTCTACAAACAAATGAAGCAATTTTCATGCATGTTCCATATTCACAATGAAATCTATGTAACTTCTAACAACAGTTATGTTTAGAATGACTTTTATGTAGAATTGAAGCCAAGAAGATCATTTGAACAGTGGAATAAGATATTTTCAAGCTACTTGTATATTCCTGGAAGTAACTTCTTCATGTGAATGACATGCTTTATATTTTCTTTCTTTCAAAATTCTGCACACAAAATTCTATATATACCCAGGTCATGCCTGCTACATATTTTTCAAAGTAACTGCAAATTCTTGATCTTGAACTGACCCTCAACAAGCCTTGAAATGCCACTCAGAAAACCAGTGTGTGACAGAAAGAATGTTCCAACATAAAATACTGTATAATAATCGCAAGTAGATAGCTCAAATCCTAATGGCAGACTGACTCAATCGAATGGGTACCAATGAATGTTAATTGTGTGTTCTTTTCCGTTGGATACTACAATCAAAGCATTTACAATCCAGGAACTATCTGATACAATCTCATATCTGAATTAATATTCTAAATACATCTTCAACTAGGGTTGATATAGTGTAAAAATAACCAACCTAACTACTTTTTTTACCATTTAATAATTCATATTTTCCAATATCAGCCAGCATTTATAGCATGATGTTGGTGAGTGAAAGGTTTGCAATCTGTATATGCTTCAATGACTATCAATATTTTTGTTGTAATTTCTTTACAATATACCAAATATTAATCCCAACTTACCATCATAATCGAGAGATTGAAATATCAAAATATGTCTATAGTTAGCTTTATTTAAAAAAAAAAACTCCTCCCATCAATTTGGCCATAATATTTTGATTGATAACAATAAACAACAAAGGGATGACTAGATATTCCAGCATTTGAAATATTCAGAAAAACTAATGCATTACCTCTTCATATTTTCTGGTTATATTTGGGCAAGCTATTGAATTGGTTATCCTCATTCTATTGTTTCAGTTGTTTAAATTCAAAATCTTATGTATTAAAAAAAACAACACATTTTTGATATTAAAAGAAAACACACAGAGGATCTACTTAAAGAATTTGCTTTGTATTATATGACAATCATACGCTGGGATGCAAAAGTTTTGGGTCAACTACATAAAAGGATTATACACATTTTATTAAGAAGTTAAGATTTGTTTAGCAGTGTGCTTTTATCAGTTGTGTTTGTGAACTGTAAAATAAGTTGTTACATTTTCATAGTTGTTGTGTAACAGAAGATACACTGATTAAAGCAGTTGAAGCTGAAAAATGGTCTTGTATTAGGCCAATGAAAGATTTGAGATGATAAAGATATGTTAATCAAATTTCTAAATAGGAATTGTTCCATCTTAATAACACAAGTGTAGGGTGCCTTAGTGGATCATTGTAGTTAAATATTAGCTTCCTTTATTGCGTTAAAATCATAGTTAAAATTTCTGAGAAACACAAATGAAGGTTGTGATTTTAAAGGGAACATAACTCAATAAGAGATTGCCAGACAGCTGGGAATTTCCAGAAAGTGTTCAAACCATCCATAAATGTTTGCTACTATTGGAAATATTTTAAATGCAAAGAAAACTGAAAGACGACAAAAATGAGATGAAAGAAAGATTGTGAGAGACTCAGTAACCAATCCAAAATTAACAGCCAGACAAGTGAGAAGTGAATACAGTCTTAACGGTTAATTTGATACAGTACACAGCATATTACAAAAAAACAAACAATTTGAATGAGTGTAGATCAGGATTAAACCATCATTAAGCAAAAAGTATTAGAATAGAAGACTGATTTTTTGTGATGAATGCAAAATAGAGTTCCATTTTCATGCAAGGGAATATGTATGAGGAGTAGTGGGAGAAAAAAAACAATACAAGACACACCAAAAAGACAGTAAAATTTGGTGGTGGACACATGAGGATGTTGGGTTACATTAAAAGCAATGGTAGAAGAAAATTGGTAAAATTTGATGGAAATCTGAACAACAAAATCAATATTTACTAGTCTTATCTTCTGCTCAGCTATGAAGAAGGAAACATTTTTCAGCATGCCAGTACTTCTTGCCACACATAATATGCAACAAAATGGTTTCTCCTGGATGAAGATGTTCAAATTTTGAAAGACTTGCCAGCACTAAGTTCTGATTTCAGTGTAATTGAACCATTGGGATGGGAAATGAAGAAACAAGTACTCCAGTGAAAACCATGCAATATCCAAGAGCTTTAGGATTATTGCCAAGATTGGTAAAAATATCCAATGAGAAAATATGGGCCTTGTTCAATTCAATGCTTCATCAAACTGAAGTAATTATTCAAGCCAAAAGCAACAACAGTGATTACTAATTCCATAATTTGCTCTTTTGTACTTTCTGTAATAACAAAAGATGACTTTTTGCAAAAAAAAAATCCTTTTTAACTTAAATTTTTGCATGGCCTTTTTCCAGCAACACTATGCTTAAGATGCTCTATCATCTATGATACAAAATTAACAAAAATGCAGTAACTTGTTTTCTAGCCCTAAAAGCTCATACTGAGGAAAGCATACTGCTAATCACTTTCAATTTGGGGCTAAAATTAACATTGAAATTAATTCACCACGGTAGTCATAAAATTTTGCCCACTAATGTTTACAAATTGTCATAAGATAAAACAAAATACATTTATTCACTTAATCAATGTATTAATCTGCAGACTAGATTATATTGATTAGAAATTATTGTATAATAGATACAGATGAACAGATAAGATAAATTGATAGATTTGAATAGACTGGGATAGATAATGAATAGGGTAGAGTGAATAGATTGATAGTTGATAGAAAGATAAACCTAAGACATATATTTATTGAACTTAGGTTAATACTTAACCCCCAAGTATGGGGGACCAAGAAAGGATCACGCTTACTACTCAGTCATAATGATCTACAAAACCAGCTTGCTAATCATTATTACCTTATAGTGAAGCATCCATGATGAGACCAACATAAATAGATATTAACAAACTGTACTAAACAAAATAACAATCTAATAACCTTGAAAATCTTAGAAAATGAAGTATAAACCTATTCTAAACTTTTGTCCACATTATGCTTCCATATTAAAGCTAACCAGACTATAAAATCTTATCTGAAATGTCATATAACAAAATTTGATTTCTCTTATCTTATTCTAGAATCTGATTTAAACAAAGTGATTTTATATTTTTATTTCTTTGCCTTTGAATGACTGCAGGGTTCTAAATGGATTGGTCTGTTCCCTGGATACTTGCCTACTGCTGCAGACACAGTACCAGTTCCAAGAATTATTCCTCAAAGCACAAGCTGACTCTGCATTGACGGCTGGTGATGAGTATGGATCAAAAATTTCAGTTCCTACTTTTGGTCACAGGAGACAGAGTGATTTCTTGCCAGAAGCCAAAGCCTAAGACCAATTCTAATGGCACTTGCCTTCTCCTCCTAACCCTCCCTCTTCCTTTTTTTTCTCTTGCTCTTTCATTTCTCTCTAATTCATTTATCTCTCACCTTTTCTCATTATTTCTTTATTGCCTTATCTATTTTTCTTTGTTTCTTTCATTGTGTCTCTTTCTTTTTTCTTATTCCTCTCTCTATTTTCCTCCCTAACTTTCTATTCATATTCTTGTTTCTCCAGTCTTTTTATTCTGCTATATTTCTCCTCTTTTTCCTCTCTTACTTTCTATTTTCCTCCTTTATTCTTTAACTTTTCATTATCTTACTTAATATTTCTCTTCCACCCTCTTTTTCTTTTCTTTTTGTCTCTATTTTCCTCATTTTCTTCCTCTCACTCTGTTTCTTCTCATTTCTTTTCAGTTTATCTTTAATCTCCTTTCAGCAGAATCAGATCAAACAAAATTCCTACTCTGTCTCCACAACTTGGATTCCTCTCATCTATTTTCCAAAACATTAAAAACCCATTTATAATAATTCAGTCATACACCATTGTATAGTCTTCTACCTACCATTATGCAACTATAAATTTTAAAAATGCTTTCTTTTATTATACATAAAACTTAGCATTTTAAATTAAATTTATTCTGAATCTCTCTTGCTATGAATTGAGAAACCACATTAGCATAAGGTTTAATTTCTTGAACATTTCAGCAAAGACTGAGGTCACTCATAATGGATTGCATTATCAAGATTCTACATAAATTATCTTGAGTTTTAATTGAGTAAGGCCTACTTTGATGCACTATCAGATTTGGGGGCTAAAAAGATTGACTTCTTTCTATTACAAATCTGTTTGCCTAATTGGTAACATGACTCATTAAAATTAATTTCCTTTCCCTTGTTTCCTTTATGATAACATTTTGACCATTGTACTGGCCAGCCTTTCTCAGTGAACTATTATGTATTGAAATAAGAAAACTTGGGATAAAGAACCATGACCATCCCCTCTTATACACAACGCATCCTGTGCTTCTCCCTGTGTCTTTTTGGAACTATCTTTTCATGTCCGACATGTTGGATGCATGACCTTACATTGAACTACGTTGGTGAAACCTACTTTTGTACAGTTGCAACAAAGAACAAAGATGAAATCCATTGACTACTAAAACTAAGATTTGAAGAACATTTAAAAAACAAAAAAAAATGGATCTTTGTGAAGAAATTTTAAAATCAAGAATGGTTGATCATGCACAGAAGTATGCACTCAAACTTTTGTGTGATAGAATCAAAATAATAAACTAGAAATTGCATTTGAAAATAAGTACATTAAAGTAATCAGAAAACCCAATCAATAAACCTAGCATAGATGTTGATTTCAATCCATAATGGGAATGACTGCAAAACACTTACCTCTCTCTTTTTATAGGCAGAAGTCCATACATGCATGCTGGAAATTTTTCTTAGCCAATAAAATAGGATGATTTGACATGACTCAGTCCAGATTTGCCTTGTCTCAAAGACAGACCACTGTGTTCACTTGTCTGAACTTGCTTTTGTGTGTCGATGATAATTCTTAGTTTGTGAATTTTTTGCTTTCTTACTGTTAATTTGCCTTGCATGTATTGTTTGCTTGCTTGATATTATTTTATTTTTGCCATGTTGCTTTTGCTTTTTATTGCAAACTTTGTCAATTCTGTTTGTTGGATAGTTTTGATTTCTTTTTGCATTTGACCATAGTTATATCTCATCAGGTTATCCACCCAGGAATAAAATCTACTTCAACAAGTGATGAATCAAAATATGAAATATAAGAATTAAAATTTTGGGGTTACATGTGAGTCCAAAAAACAATCTTGGCACATTTGATCATCCCAATGGCAGAGACTACTGAGAAAATACATTTGCCAAATTAATTCAATTTCTTGATGATTGAAGTCTGTCTCTTATTATGAGAGAAGCCCCTGACAATGGGAGAAAAGTGATGCAAATTTTGAGAGAGAGCATTATTTATCAAAAGGAAAGCCAAAAATAATTTCCCTGTATACAGAATTAACCTCCGTACACAAAGCAACTGCTGAAACTATTACTGATTGTATTATTAGAGCCAAAAACATAGCCACTTTATTAAAAACTTCTGAGGAGACAATCGGTGATGGTTTACTAATAACTATGGTCCTAAAAGGCCTCCTGTCCAATTTCAATCCATTTACAACTGTTATTACTCAAAAAGACAAGCTACTAACATTTAGTGAATTCAAAGTAGCATTGCAAAGCTTTGAAGAAACCAAAAAGATGAGAATAACACTGAAATACTGTAATGACTCTCTGAATGCCAAGACCAAAGCCACAAGCTAATGTTCCTACCTGTTTTACTTGTGGTAAACTTGGACATAAGTACCTGATTGCTGAAGTAAATTTCAGAATTACTAAGTAAGTAATTCTCCCTCATGACACTATAATTCCAATCCACCAAACAAAATTATTATCTGCCATGTTTGTCACAAACCTGGCCATAAAAGTACCAAGTGCAGAAACAACAAAAAAGCTCATTTTCTAAAAAATGTGGAACGTGTTTCAGATAATGAACATTCATTTCTGTTTCCAATTGGTCTAGATACTATTTCCATTAAAAACGGTTTACTCATTGACAGTGGTACTACCACACATGTGATAACTGGCAAATCTAAATTTCTTACTTTTCTTACTCTGCACACTTGAATGGTACTACAGAATGATCTTGACAATCTCTATTCAAAATGGGTAGATGTCTATTAATACAATCAAAGCTACCAACGGTTTTATGGTCATATGCTTTTAAGACCACAGCATATATTAGATATCAGTGTTACAGTCAAAGAACTAAAAAAAAAACTGCCTTCAAAATGTTCACAGGTCACAAACCTAACCTCGCCAATATGCATACATTTGGCACAATTTTTTATGTATACATACAAGATAGAAAGAAATTGAACACTAAGCAATTTTCATAGGCTACAATAAATCATGTCCTGCCTATTTAATATATATACCTGAAACTAAGAACATCAAAAGAATAAGGTGCATAAAATTTACTGGAAACTTTGAAAATCCTACATTTGACAATTCTTTACTTCCTCAATAATGCAATACTTTCCAACTATTTTCTGAAAAAATCCTTTTGGAGAAGAGACACAAGAAATCAAAACTACACAATCAAGTCTAAACAATAATACAGGAGATAATCCTAGTGCAGAAATACAAGACAGATTATATCCAAGCAGTTTGCAAAAAATGTCTGAATATCTGAAAGATTACGTTGTTAAGAATTTAGACAACATAGTAAATCCAACTATAGATTATTGTTGTTCAGTAAAGAATGTACCCACTAATTACAATGAACCTAATACTTCAAATGACTCTATAAAATGGCAAGATGCCATGGAAAAAGAGATAACTGCATGTAAACAATACATGTGAATTGACAGAATTTCCACCTGGTAAAACTATTGTACGCAGTCAGTGGGTCTACACTATTAAAACTAATAACACTAGTAATGAACAGTTCAAAGCATGATTCATTGCAAAATGCTACTTTTAAAAGCCTGGAATATATTATCATGAAACTCTCTCTCCCCCACAGCATGTTTATCATCTGCAAGAAATTTAAATTAAAAAAAAAACATGATATAAATAAAAGAAAAGAATATAAAATATTTAAAAAAAAAAAAAAAATTTCTGTCATATAGGCAAATTATATGTAAATTATATATATGTAAATTTCTTCATGTATCTTGTTTGTATTTATTGGTCCCATAGAAATGGGGGATTTAGGGGAGGTAAATATGATTGCACTCATTCATTAGATTGAGTGGGAGGGTGTTAATTTCAATCCTTAATGGGAATGACTACAAAGCACTTGCCCCTCCCCTTTTATAGGCAGAAGTCCACAAATGCATATTTTTCTTAGTCAATAAAATAGACTGGTTTGCAGTTTGGCATGACTCATCTCAGATCTGCCTTGTCTAAAAAGACTTTACTATTCTGTTTGTTGGACATTTCTGTCATTTCTTTTGCATTTGACCATGAGTATTCACTCCACATTATAAGAGCCACTGATCAAAAAAAATAAATCCTAGATTTAGGATTTCAAAAACATGACCCTAAAAATGGAGGTTTTACTGAATTTTACCAATTTCAATGGAAGATCATGAGTCCAATACATGGATCAGGAAAAGACATTTCCAAGAAATCAAAGACAAAGTCATTTGATTTGATAGTACTGGAAAAGAAGTCCAAGTTTCTAAAATACAACAGACAGCTGAGAAAAGCTGTAGGGTAGAGTGGTTGAAAGATGGAAATAAAAAGAAAAACAATGAAGAGAAGAAAATTGGTTTCACCTAATCAAAAAGCAAATTCAGATGAAAAAATGACATTTTATATAAAAAGTAACATGTAATATAGAAAGGTAACAGGAAATCACTCCGCTATATTTCCCAAGAACAATCATGTTTGCAAATAGTTAATCACAGTTTAAAGATATTTAAGAAAAGAAAGCTGTGAATAGTCATGATTGCCTATGTTCTGGAAGGACATAAGTTCTTTTCAATAAATTCCCTAAATGTTCTCAAACTAATTCCCTAAAAATATATCTTGATTATACAACCTCAATTCATAAATATTTTACTATAATTTCAAGCTTCTTCAGGAACAGAAATTCAGTCTTATTTAATTTTTTGTTATAATGACAACAGGTTTGAAATCATTTTGTCCCCAAACTATTATATTTGCTTCTATTGCAGTAATTCCATTATGATTGACATGTTGTCAGTAGAAAGAAATCACATTCTGGTCCGGTCTTATTTGATTGGTGGATCAACTGAGCGAATTCTACCAGCCCAAGTCCTGCAACAGGTGAGAGATCAAAAATGCTATATTTACTGTTGTTTGGACAGAGTTTCATGCAAGTGGCTAGAATATTTTATTCTTATTTTAGCAAAACTATGGGGTGGGTGTATTTTAATCTTTAAACATAAAGATTAAAGTCTACCAGAATCTTCTTGTAACTTGTTTGCCATTACATGATCACTGGGCAGAATCTGATATGCCATAGAAAATCAGTAATAACAAGAGTTTTGTATATTTCTTTAAAACTATCTTCAATATGTCATGTTCTTTAGCACAGCAAGAAGTCACAAGATCATCATAGAAGTTGAGAGAAGGTAGTTCCAAGAATAGAGACATGCAAGAAAACAGATGCGACGTGTCTCAGAAGAGATACACATTCTCCTCCAGAACACAACAGAAACCCAAGGAAGGCCTGAGTATACAGAGCCAAAACATTGAGAAAAAAAACAATGATGAGTTTATTAGTCTGAACAAAAGTACATACAACAATGAAAACAGACAAGAAAAACAATATGCATATTTAAATAATAATAAAATGAAACTACTACACTACAACTAATTTGCCATTATTATAAGTAGATAGTCATCAACCAAATCATCTATTGTATTTGTAGGCATTGCATTGAGAGTACACTCTTTCAAATAAACCAAAATATAGTACTTTATCTTAAAATCTCAGACTACTAGCAATATTTCCACTTATGAAAACAATTTTTTAAAACCTTGATTATGCAGAATAAATAACAACAAAGGTACTAAAAATCACTTACAGCTTGATACAGGGTAAATATGTTTCACATTAATTCACTCATATAGTGAGTCCATCCTCATTGGATACTTCACTAGTCTTACATTGTGTAAGATTCAGTTAAGCTTAGTAAACTTGGATTAAGCAAAAACCTTGTGTTTTTGTCATTAGATGGTATAAGAAGCATTTCGTTTTAACTTTATTTAAAAATTGAATTTGATTGTGATAGCTTGTATATCATCATGTATTTTAAAAATGTGAAATGGTGTATTTTTGTTTATTAATTCTGCCATTGAAGATGGAAGAAAAAAGAACTAAGCAACATTTTAATACATTTATTCTTTAAGAAATTTCAAAATAGACAAAAAGTGTATTTAATTTATGGAGAAGGTACTGTGAATGATCAAATGCGTCAAAAGTAGTTTTCAAAATTTCAAAATACATAAATCAAATATTGGAATTCATTTTCACCAGCTTATCTTGTTTTGATATGTGCATTCTATATATATATATTTATATATTAAGCAAAAAAATCTACCAAACTATTTTTTTAACAAATTTTACAACACTGTGAAGCCCAAGAAATTATAGGGTAAGCAAAATGAACTGTAAGACTGTGCATGTGCTAGGACATGCTCTATTATGATATCCTTCTGGCAAATTAAACTATTGATTCAAGCATGTGCTGCTTGCCAAGTGAAGGCAGCAATTTACAAAAACATCCATCTCAAATGAATTAAGAGAGAAAGCATCATATCCTCTCAGAAGAATGCTAGATGCTATATTTTTTGATGACTAGGCAAAGATTGTTAAATCTTGGCTAGGAAGCTTTTCACTCATCTGCTATATTCAGATATTGTCTCTTCAGATAATTATTTATTTTTGTTTTTACTAAATTGTCTTCATGATAACAATTTCAATTTCATAAAAGATTTCAAAAGTGACTTAGAGCAGTTCTTCATTGAGAAAGATAAAAGGTTCTGGGAGGATGCAATTATTAGTATTAATGGTCAATATTTGAGCCAAAGCAAAAATTGATTTTTTTTTCCAATATTGGTTTTCCATGTAGTCAGGGTCTCCTCCAGTTAAAATTTTACTGCCATAAAATCATCTTACTTCAGTCTGGTTGTTATACTAATTTAACCTTCATAAAATTTTAACTCCCAAGTATGAGAGGTAAGTTTGAGTCTCCCTTGAAATAACTTCTTTGTTTTAAATTCTCATTGTTAAATGTGAAGGCTAAAGAATATATCAGCTAAACATGTTGTAATAAAAATAAAAAAAAATATATGAAATATTTAAAAGAAATTTGTTTTGTATTTTTTTAAATAATATATAACATGCAAAATTGGTGATGTTCATTACAATACTTAATTTATAAGAGGAAATTGAACTTCAAACTGGAACACTGAATCATTATTAATCATTAAATTATAGAATTACTTGTGTATTGTCTATGTTTTAATGTGATAGGTTTGACCATGCACTGTGAAACAATAAAGAATATGTACATGTATGGGCTCAAAGGAAAAAAACTGAATTATATAATCTAATGTCTTTAAAGTTTCAATGGTGCATATATTCTGCATCCCTGATTTGAAGAAAATCTGACTGAAGCTTTATAAAAGTTTTACCCTTGTGAAGTTCAGCTAAAACTCAAATGAACCTCAAAAATTGCAATGTCCATATCTTCACAAATAGGATTTTATTAAATCTAACCTTATTTACATTATCTTATTAATTTCTTTTTGAGTAGTTATCTTTTATTAAACATGGCATGGCATATTTTGTTTGTTACAAACAAATGGACAATGATTTGTATATAGATAGACTGAGAAGGAAGCTCTGCCCTTCTAAGTGGAAGTTAAAATGTTGCTTTTTTAAAGAAAACAAAAAACAAATTCCAAATGTAAGCCACACTCATGCATGGTGTTTTCCAGATTGAATACCTGTGCATGAAACTTAAAAATAATGAAAGACACTTTGCAACATTTGACTTTGAAGATTTATGTGGTGACAAATCTGCTTCTCCTTCTCTTGTAATTCTCTATCAACAAATATTTGTTTGACTTCCAAAGCCATTCATTCTGTTCAATATCCTTTGTTCATTGATATTGATCAATACACCATGGATTTGCAAAAACATATCAAAATGGATGCCACAAGTAGATCTTTCATTTACATACTGCAACAGATTTAAATCCACACATCCTCTGGCTCCCAAGGGAAATTAAACTAAAGCTGTTATGGATTAAAACTCCCAAAGGACAAAGCTTGTAGCTACGTTATATTACCTACACAATACATAAGAAATATTTATTATTTTAATATATAAAATCTACCCAAAACTTATTAGTAAAGATGAAGCAGAACATTTTAGTATCAAAGTTTCATTATAGAGTTTAATGGAAGCACAATTGATTGGTGGCCAAGAGTTAAAAGGTTCATTACAGATTAAATGAAACCAGCAGAGGACTAGAAATCTGAGTGTTCATCATAGGTGCTCAATTAGTAAAATTTATGTCTTGAAATATTTTTCAACAGATGTAAAACCAAAGTTTGTTTTATTTTTTACCTTCATCCAGTTAAGAAATGTATCTTCAAAAGAAACATAATTTGTTAATTTTGAGTGAAAGGTTTAAAAAAATGTTTGTGCAGTCTACTCATCTAAAGAAAACTATGCCTCTATTTTTAGCTGATCAAATATCTGGAAATAATTATGCCCCACTGGATTTAAATCCACTAATTGCAAGTTTTGCTTTCATGAGGATGTGAATTTACATTGCAATTTTAACAATTCAACTTTATTTTCTTGCTCATCATGATTATTAAATGTGAATTGCCATGTGCCAGGTTGTGCATAAGTAGAGTAGAGTTTCAAATATTCAAGGCAGCCATAAACTTGCCATTTGAAAGAGTAACACATTGCAGTCTCCCTCTTCTTCTATTGGATTTGTGCCTGATTGAGCTAAACGTTTTATACACAATATTTTTTGAGCCTTGGTAAAACTAATAATTTTGACTGTTAATTTTCAAGGCATCAAGATCTTTCCCACTTGTGATTGGCTCATCAAACCATTTCTAATGCTTTACTCTTCCCATCATTTGATCTTGTGCCATATTAATTTAACCAAAGTAAATATATGTATTTTCAAGCATTTTTAAGTTAATAACACCTCATTTTACGCTAAAACCTTGGTAAAGTAGCTAATATTTTTGCAGATTCTCAGTGTTTCCCCTTCAACATGAGTATATTGTCTCTGTCATTTCAAAGCAAATGAATTTCACCCTCAAATTTCCTAATACTGAACTCTGCAGGCAATGAAGGTTACTAAAAATGGTTTATAATAAACCATCCAAGTGACTACATGTTGACTCTGATTCAGGTTGTCAGAAAGATTGGAGTTTGCCTGTGTTCCAAAGATTTTCTGTGCTAGAATCAGTAGGGTAAATCTCTTGCCAAGACTATCACCATTCATAATTGAAATAGTTATACTCTCTAGATTCATTCCCAGAAATCAAAAGAAATCTTCTGGTTGAAGTAGGAAAAAGTAAGCAACATAAAAATAAAACCATCTCACTACCAAACACTAAATAGAAGAAAGGGTGTATAATGAGAGGCCTTAAACTATCTCCTTGTATACTGGGTGAAATAAAAACAAGACTCATATGTCAAGGGATTATAGAGCTTTGGAGAATAACCACTAAAAAGGAAGATGAGCTAACACATAGTTGCTTTCAGTAATCCTCAAATAGGAAAAGAAATCGAAATTGTTTACTCCATTGAAAAAGTAGACCAATACATACCCTGTTCTCTAAATTGCTACAAATACCAGAAATAGAGGTATCATTTAATGTATGAAATGACCAATGTGGGAGAGATGCAAACAGAAAAACCTCCAACTACTCTCATAGAGTATGCAATGGAGAAGTTAAATGTGCTTTCATAGAAATGACTTGTCATATGCCTGAATATATGAAATCTGGGGGATGAAAAGGAAATTATGGCAATGAAATACAGAATAAATGTATCAAGCCCAGACCAGAAATGTGTCATACTCAAATGTTATACAAATGTTACACATCTTTGTGGGGGAAGATGTATTCTCCACCCTGAGCCTATTTTACTCCATTGCAGTGCTGCATGCCTATTGCTACTCTAACGCTATTTCCTTGGTAAATGTTCAGATGTTGCACTAGTTGAGACCCTTTACTGCTAGGATACATGCCATACCACATGCACAGAGTCAAATCACTGTCGGTTCCTTCATATTCCAAATGTAAGAAGAAAGTTCAAACTTAGCTTTTTTCCCAAGAACTGTTATTTTGAAGAACAGACTCTCCCTAGTAGATGCTTCCTGAACACTACATCTTTAATCTTTTCAAATAGTCAATTGTTATTTATCCTGCTTATCCTCATGATTTTACCTCTATTGCCTATCTTTTTATTTGCTTTGAAAAACAAATTAAATTTTTTTTTACATTATATAAAACTTTAATAAATTTATATAGATGTTCTTGATTAGGACTAGTGTTGGAATTGTGTATTTATTGCAATTTTTTTGTCCTGTAAAACTTATTTTCAGCATTAAATAACCCAGCAAGCATTGATATTTTGTTAAATAACAATGACTTAAGATAGTCTAAGACATCAAATGGAAGCTTTTTCTTCAAATGAATCTGATTTACACTATACAGACTTATGAAATTTATTTTTACTTTATATATATATATATATATATATATATATATATACACACACACAAATTTGCTAATTTATTTTGAATTTATTGACAGCAAAAACAGATTGAAATATGGAATTTGCAATGAGGTCACATAAAGACTGAAATCAATGTCAGGATTTATTGAAAATTAAACTGATTTTATTTTATTTTATGAGACTAACTGTTTTTAGTTTATTAAGCATAACTAATTCTAGCACATGATCAAAAATATGCGAGACCAGTGAGAAGGAAACCCACTCCAACAGTCATGGTCTGCTGAGCTAGCTTTGCTATCACACATCCTAATATATATAAAAATAAGTAATATGTTATAATCAACCCCATGCATTCTACTAGATTCTTAGGAGATTGTCCAAGATTTACAAACCAGCCATTGAAACTGTAATATTGTATTTCATCAATTATTATTGAGATCAATTGGCACACTTCAATATTCAGTGTAGCAAAATGTAATTACCTATAAGTAGTACTAACAAGTCTTAGTATTAAAAAGGTTCTGTTGTTTGATGATTTGACATGAATTGAGTTGAACTGGAAACTCTTTTCAGCATTGCTTGCACAATCCTAGCTGATCATGAATTAGATCAGTTTTATGTTGGTAAGGAAAAAATAAAACAATGATATAATATTAACTGTACTTTGCAAATCTTCAAAGTTCAGAGGGCCTGCTTTGAAATTGCTCTTGAAATTCTGGCTTTTACATGATTTTGAAAATTGCTTTCTGGCATGAGTGAGAAATACACAACTTTTTCATCCACAAGGCATCAGCACTGGTTTATGTTTTAATTAATACAGTACAAACCCAGTAGCATTATCTGTGGGTAGGTAGATTATTTTGTACCAAGCTTTCAAATGACAAGAGCCCATTGGTCTTGAAAATCAGCATTTGAGCTCAAATACCAATCTCACCTTTGTTAGGAAAAGTACTCCAATCTAAGTTATCAAAACAGGTTTTCATATAGGTCTAGGGTATTAAACTGACAAAATATTTTAGTGTAAGTATTATTTTTATTTATTTATTTTCTATTTTTAATTTCTTCTCTGACACATAGAGATCCTAGACAAAACATTCTAATTTTCTAGTTTATAAAAACAAAAAAGATAAATGGTTACTATGTTGATATTGATTCTATTTTTACTTTTTGCTATTTCATTTGTTTTTATTGATCGCTGACATTTAATCAGTTCAACTAGGAACAATACTTGTCTGAATTCGATGTCTGATTTTGTGGAAGGAGTGCACTTCTAATCCAACTGATACACAATATCACCTGCTTTGGATGCAGACCACTTCTCTAGGACCTTTTCTGTTCTAAATTTTTGCAGGCATTTTTCATTGTATTTTTCCATTTTAAAAATGGGTTATTTTTGTTACATTTATACAGAGAATCACATATAGAAATGTAGTCCATTAAATTTTCTTCCATTAAATCATGATGCACCCAAACATTATAGTGGATCATGTATCGAAGTGATTTCAAATTCTTTACAATGTTCCTATGCGATATGTGGAGTATTTCTGCAATGTATTGTGTAATGTGATCTGAATTATTTTTAATCCATGTCTTGATTTGGTCATCATCAATGACTGCAGGCCTACTAGAATGTTTTTGGTCTTCCAGATCAAAATATCCACTTCTGAAACTACTGTTTATGAATAATATATAGCACCATATCCATAAACAGTGCGTATCTTTTTTGCTGTACAGCATTTTTTCCTTTCTGGAAATAAAAAAAAGCACCAAATGATACAGGTGCATCCCATTTTTCTCCATTTTCAGTTTTAATTTAAAAACATTTAAAATTTATAATGTATACATTAATTTCACCTTTCAAAATACCTATATATTTCATCACTTTCAGTCATATGTGAAACAAAATGATGGATTCAAACACCACCTTTTAAAAACACTACAAATTTTTGTTCCAACCTAATATATAAATTGAGATAATATTAATGGATGAGACAAATGCGCTAAAAATATTATTAGAAATCATTTACATTTAAATTAGATCAGGGTGTTCGATTATTCTACTTGGTATTCTTTAAAATGTTCTATCAAATTTGAATTTGAACCTTTTTCTTTCATCTTTTATTTACATTTGCTCTTTTTTGTATTTGTTCCAGGATTCTGCAAAGCCTTATCCATTCCCACTATTCTCAAAATTTCCAGTTCCTGCTTCTTACATTCCTGAAATACGAAAATGGAATCATACAAACCAAGGTGTCTTAAATGTCCAATTTCTTTTCAATGTACAATATACTAACATTAATTATTGTTAAGGATCATCCTCAGCAGCAAAGGCATAACAGTTTTGTTTTGTTTTTTGCAAGTTTTTTTTTTAAATTTTATTTACAAGATTATTACCTACACTGAATTAGAACTTTTCTCTTTGTTCTTAGAATTGCAATAATTTGAAGGGCCATCAATAAGACTGACACATAGCATAATTATTGGCTGATTTAGACTTAAAAATTTCTACTGTATAAGGCTCAATCTGTCTGGAATGAGGAGTTACCATTTTGTATTTGGATGTGTGTGTGTATATATATATATATATATATATATATATATATATATATATATATATATAGGTTGCAGACATTTTTGTAATGTATTTTTGTCACCAAATTAGGATTAGTAGAATGTTAAAATGCTGCTATTATTCTGCTTGTTTGCATATAAAGCCATTTGACTTTTCAAACAGGACCAGGTTCCATATCTGTTGAAACCATGGAAGTCTTTGTTACTATAATGATTTTTGACACTGCTTAATATTTCCTAACTCTTTCTTTTAATATATCATCTTTCTTTCATTCTTTCTAGCAGAATTTATTTCTTTTTATCGATTCTGTTTATTAATTTTAACACTGGAAAATGTATATTTAACATTTGTATAATAGCCCTGTTCTGTCATTAATTATAAAAATATCACTTGTCAGCAGCCATGAAGTTTCCACTGATCCAGCTAGTTAGTTATTTATATTTTGAAGGGTGAAGGACCAAGTCACTTCATTTTTAATTCAGACACTTTGGTTCATTGCTCATAAATTCCAGGTACTCATCATCTCACTTTTAATTCAGTGAATTTATTTATATCAGACAGCACTTTCCTGTTTAATTGATGTTTGTAAAATTAAAAGAAAACATTAAAAAGAAAGAGAGAGACCCATTTATAGAAGTTTATTCTTTCTTTATTTTCTTAGGCTGCAAATGATTAGAAGAATCACTTCTGTAGGTTTTGTATACAAAGCTTTGACAGAAATGTCACTTGTTTATACTGGCAAAAGTCACAGATGTAAGTATGATTGAAAATAAATGTTTGATTATGAAAGGTTATACCTCTGTCAAAGGTCACAGATCCTTCTTTGGATAAATGTCATAGATAAACCACAACATCTGAAAGATTTATTCATTTTGTTACTGTATTGGTCAATGGCAAATATTACAACTTTTCCAAATCAGATGCCAACTTTGTCATTCTTTTCTCCAGAAAAGAAATGGAACTGTCATTATAGCAACCAAGGATTATTCAGCAAATTAATTATCTTTATGGCCAGGTGAAAAAAATATTGGAATCATCTCAAGAATTGATAGCTGTTCAATCAGGTTATGAATCCTTCATTTCAGTGATTTGTGTTTGATGCAAATGTATAAAGAGAAGGAGAATAAAAAACCAAATAGCAGCAACAATTAGCAGGTTAAGGATGTAAAGACTGGAAATGTCATTCAGTATAAACAGAAAACAAAACTGCACATGAATATTTTCCCCGTTTAAATCCCAGAGAAAAATACACAAAAGTAAAACATTATTTGGTTTAAGGCAAAAAGTAGTGAAAAGAACATTGAGGCTTGGTAATGTTAGTTTTGTCTTTGTTATGTATTCATAATTATTTGTTCACTTCTGTTATTGGATTGGAAAAAATTAAGTAAGGAAGTGGTGGGGAAAACAAAGTAGAAAAAGACGGTTACGTTAGTTGGTTGATTTTAAAAAATGCTGATCCTTGTTGTTGGAAATGAAGGAATGAAACTGTAAAACTCTTTCCTACAAAGTTATTGAAAAAAATGCAAATCCATTTATTTGGTGTAAATTGGTTCAAAAGAATGAAGATTGATAAAAATTGTTGAATATAGACCATAATAATAAATAATATACATTAAATCATATTATATAATAATATAGACGATAATGGATGATATGATTGTGCAAAGGACAACTGAACAGGTTGAATAATATTTTGAAACTACATGTTTCCTTCCTCAAGCAACAAAGATAAGCAAATGTTGTAACTTATATCATGATGCTTGGGGTTGATCCTGTATGTTAGGGTGAATCCACTTTGGAAGATGTTGTAATGTGTTTTTGTCAGATTTATATTCAATTCCCCATACAAGAGCAAGACTGCTACAAACAAACTGATCATTTATGTCGAGGTACATTGTAGGCATATATTAAATGCACAGTCACATTATAGTTGGAAAGACAAAAAAAACAGCATTTCCATAAAAGATGTTGCCAAATGAAGAAGTGGTGTGCTAACTTCAAGAGTGACTGACACACAAGATGCTGCATGGCCTAAAAGTTGCAACAGTGTCAAATCCTAAAATTGTTGATCATGACCTAATTTCAGTTGATTGATAAATTTTAGCCAGAATTATTTCTGGGATAGAGAGATCCAAAGAATGCATTGGGTTTATAATTCACAAGTCATTGGTTATACAGAAACTGTCATCCAAGTTGTTGCCAAAATGTTTGAATGCCAATCAAAAATGATATTGGTTCCAGTTTGATTTTCACTGATCTAGTAATCATTTTTTGAAATGACATGTTACTACTGATGAAACATGGTTACACCAATACTGATCTGGAAGTTGAACAACAGTCTATACAGTGGCAGAACTCAAATTCTTCACAACCAAAGAAATTCAATGGCTCTAAATTGTTGTGCCAATTAAAGGAGGTGTTAAAAAAACTGAATGAATCTGTGGAAAGGTGCCCTCCTTTTGCAGGAAAATATCTCACAGGATTGGCAAGATGATGAATGTTTTGAAATTGGGGTTTGAGTGCATAGAGCATCAACTTGACTCATCAGGCCTTATGCTGCTTCCTGTTTCCAAACTATAAAAGGATAGTTTGCAGAGGATAGCAGTAGTAGATCAGTATTTCCATGATCAATCATGAAAATATTGTTGAGTGAAATGTTATAGAAATGTGAGAAACAATGTGGCAAGTGTGTCAAGGATTAAACCATGTACCATTTCATGTCACTAGGTCAGGTGTCAGCTGTATGCTCAGTTTAAAACATGTATGTGCACAATTATCACCATCATATTATCACCCCATCAACCTCCTCAGTGTCAACAACAAACTTTTTGAGGCTGTCATCAACAGGAAGGCTGTCAATCACCTCAACAGTAACAACCTCCCAAGTGACAGACAGTGTGGATTTCACTCCTCTAGGTCCATTGCTGATGTATTAATAATCATTACACATAGAATAGGGAGGCACAGTAGAGTAATGGATAGTGGCTCGGATTGAGGAATCAGAGGGCCAAGTTTGAATTCCACTCAAATCCATTACATTCACTTAGGTGCTAATACTCTTTGAAAAGGTTTGAACCCTCTTCTTCTCTCCCCAGCTATGGATAAATAGCAGAACAGACCAAGTTCTTAGCCTTGGATAGCATTTGGTCTACTGCAGAATGAAATGGCAACCTACTGTGGGAAAAAATCTGCCTTGTCAGTCATGTATCAAAAGATACATGATCACCTAAGTGTGTATCATGCATGGAACATAACTGACTAATACATAGAACTAGTATAGTGCTTGATAATAAATCTATCGCAAGAGCATTCACCTTAGAAACTCAAAGGCTTTTGACATGGTGTCACATAGGGGATTGCTATGCAACTCCCCAACTATAGCATTTCTGGGAGAGTCCATCTCTGGAGGTCAGCTATGAAAGTCATTGTTAATGGCCAGTCCTCTAACACACTTAAGATCAATGCAAGTGTCCTCCAAAGCTCTTACCTTATTCCTACCATTTTTTTGATATGTATTAACAATCAGGTCACTAGTAAATTACTATGCAAATATGACAGTTTATAGAAATACCACCAGATATCTAGATGACCAGAACTTGGCATCTGATCTCACCTCTGACCTTTCTTGCACAACTCAATGAGAGGAGGAACTGGCTTGTAACATTCAATATCTTCAAAACCAAGCTAGTAAAATTTCATCATCACAGAGCAAACCCTGAGTTGTCTCCAGTCATGAAGAATGGTTTGTACTCTCAATGAGGTTCCTTGCCTAGAATGTCTATTAGGACTCAAGCTCACACAAGCCTTCAAGTTGACCCATATGAATGATTCATTGTTAAAATCACTGCAAAAATGGTCAGCTTCCTGTACCACTCCAGAAAGTATCTGACTCTTCCTGCTATGCACTATTTCTACAAGAGCATGATCAGAAAATAGTTTTATCTTTGTTTCTTTGGATTCAAAGAAAGTGCAAACTTCATTTGTATTGTTTATAACTCTTCATTATAAAACAATTGAACTGTTGAATATTCGTGGGTTCTGATATCTTATTTATTCTCCATTTATTTTCTTTTTTAATTGTCCATTTTCCTTTTTCTTGGCAGATAATGATCTTATGAAAAAATTGTCTCACTCAAAAGATAACAACCAAAGTTCATTACGTCTGAAAGAATTGCATACCCTTGTCTCTGATGTGCTCCTCAATCAACCAAATCAGCTGCAAGGAACAGGTAAGTTAATAGGGACTGTTTTCAATGTCCTCTTACATAGTATCACCAACAAAATTCTACTGTTATTAATTACATTCTACTTTTATTAATTATAGACTAGCTTTTTTTTTCATTGAAATTCATCACAATTTGAACACCTTTTGTAACATGTGTACAAGTGGAGTAAAAAAAAAGTAATTATTTTATTGAACTAATGTCCTCATCTTTATTTTTACGATGACAATGTTTTGACCATTGTACCCTCTAGCTTTCTTCAGGTAACTTTAAAAGAACTTTGAACTGAACCTTCCATTTAATCTATGTGAGTAGATTATCCTCACTCCACTGTCTATCTCCTGGGAGATCTTGATTAACTGTGCTGTTATTGCCATTGTTCTGTTTCCACTGAATTTGAGTATATCCATCCCACCTGGCCAAGGGATTGAATTAGAGGGTTCAAAATTCACTGAAGTAAAAGGTCAGTGCATACAAAAATGAGAACATTAGTCTGACTGTAAATAATATAAATAATATTAATTCCTCATTCCATAAATTCAGACAGAAATTTAAAAAAAGTAACTTCTAACTTGGTATCAATTCACATCTCATATCCAAGAAATTTGTCTATTTAATGCAATGTCTTAACAAATTAAACTATGAAAGGCACATGTTTTAGATTTTCTTCATTCATTTTACAACAGTGTTTTTAGGTTAAAACTTAGAATTGGTGATGGACTGAGGATGTGTGGATGGTTTAATGGATAGCAACTCAGAATGAGAAATTGGAAAGCTGAGTTCAAATCCCAGTCTAATTTATTACATTTACTTATGCACAAACACGTGAGAGAAGGTATGAATCCATCTCTTCTATCCCAGCTATGGGTTAAATAATATGACTTTTATTTGGAAAAATGATTTTTAATGCAATATTCACTTGCAAAAAGAGAATCTGAAATTTGTTTTGGCTTTAAATAACCCAGAAAGGGTTGGTAAGCCATAAACAAAACAAATTCAATGATGATGAAGTGATTTAAAGCAAAATTATGATTGTATCAATAGAAATGAAACTTATCCATTTGATTTGTGTGGTTACTTAGGCAAAACAATTTTAAAAATGAACTTTCCAAAAATCATTTTCATCAAAGCCCATGGGCCATTTTGGTTTGTTTATATAAAGACATGTTCATCAGTGGTCTTATAGAAAGAATAGTTTTTAGGCAGTAGTTTATCAGAATTTGGTCAAGTTGCTAACAGGTTATGTGCTTTTCGGAACAAAGGAGACCTTTTAACAATATAAATTAATGGCTAAAATTTACCTATGCATCATTGGTAACAAGCCAGTGGGTTGGGTTCTACATATACAGGTACATGGCACATTTTGAGAGAGTTTGATAAAACTAAGACAGACATGATAAGGAAATTGTAGTAGCAGCAGTAGGTTAACAAGACCACCAGATTATCATCCCAACCTTTCAAAAGTGGGAGAACAAACAAACGCATACCATCATCATTATAGTTGTGAGTGAGAAATGTATAGTTCAGACTACTACAGAATTAAGGAAAAGAAACTAAAATGAACAGTTTTCTTAAAATCTTCTTTAAGGATTTTGGTCTTCTTGGTCATTATTCCAAGATATCAGTTAATGTTGGGAATCAAATCAACTTTAGTTCTCAATGACACATGGTTGGCTCAGGCATGTGGTGTTGCAACCCTGAGCTTGGGATATCTTCAGGTCCTCTAAACACAGCATGGATGTAGAACTTTGCCCAACCACTGATTAGAATACGAGCCCATTCATCATGTATAGTGTTACTGTTGGTTACCATAATCAGGGTTATCTCAGCCATAGTGTTACTCTGTCTTGCTTAACAACATGATTGCATTGCACATCATTCACTCTATAATGTGGTCCCATAGCACATCATTTGAACTATATTAAGGCCTACTGAAATGTTCTCAGACCAACCAAGAAGGATTTTTTTAAACTCTCTTATTTGTTTGTTTATTCAGATTTTAATTTAGTAAGAAATTTTCAACAACTTTTCATAATAAATTTTGGTATATCACTTACTCTATAATGCATTCTCATGGCACATCACCTATTCTATAATGTGTTCTGGTATCTCACTTGTTCTATTCTGATAAACCTTATTTCTTTGTATTTTTAATATTTGTTCATTGTTTCAGTTGTGCAGTATCTGCTTGAGGAAGTTACCTCAGCCCTCCTTGATTCATCTGAGGGTGCCATCTTCCCATATCCAGCCACTATATGTGAGTGTAGAATATCCTAAAGTGTTTTCCAAGCATAATATGCTCAGTGGTTGTGCTAGTTATTGTTCAAACTCGGGTAAAAATCAGAAGAGTGTTGATTTTCAAGATAGGCAAACTTTTTCCGCTTAAATGGTTGTCTAAGCAAGTCTGGAAATATCTAAAAGTCAGGTTTCAAGGTAAGGTGACCTTCTCCCCTCAAGAGATTTGTGCAACAGAATCTTCCTACTTGTATATAATCCCAACTATTTGCCCATGTACTACAAAGTGAGAAATTTAGAAAAGGACAATTCAAATAAATACATAAACATCACTCGCAGTTCTGTGATGTGAAAGAAAATATTTTCAAATGATGACATCTGTTCACATTGAAGGAATATGTAGGGTTTTTATTTGTTCTTTTAGCTGTAAAGAGACTTTCATAATTTAAAACAATGCTATTTTTTGTCAATGGTTTCTTGAAACAAAAGTTCACACGAGCATTTTGACTTTGGAGTTTAATCAAAGAGCAAGCAGTTCAGTTTTACTGAAAACCAAGACAAAAAGAAATGAAAATTTTTTCTGTGTGCATAGACATACACAAATTATGAAGAAAAGCAAAGATCGTGAATAGAAAAAAAAGTATATTTTCAAAGAATCGTATGTATGTTCAACTCGGAAAAAAGATTATTCAATAAATCTACATGATGTGGCTGTATCCCTTGGCCAGATGATCACCATCATATGTTCATAATAGGGTTACCTTCAACCAGTAACTTCCTTGGTCTTCCTCTTGATGATGCTCCAGATGTAGTGATCCAGCAGATTCTAAACAAAATAGGCCACATATTGTGGGTGACATGATTGTGAAAATTCTTAGACATGACATGACCATCACTGCTCACAAATGACGAAATATTGCTAGCCTCTTGCTACTTTAATGCTATTACTATGACAGATGTCCAGACGAGTTACATTCCATAGTTCCACTAGATGAGACATTCACAGCTAGGACCTCCCACCATGCCATTTTCTTCTTCCTCAGAACTCTTACTTTCTGGAACAAACACTTGGGAGGATGCTTCCCTGACCACTACAATCTTGATATCTTCAGGTCCAGAATCAACCAATATCTATACTACACGTCCTCATAATGTGCACTTCTTACCCCTCCTTCCTCTCCCTTACACCATTCACACTCAGTAACTCTCTACTTTGAGTGGCCCTTGGGCCTTGTATTGGATGAAATAAAAATATGAAAAAAATTCCAGAACCATCATGGATGATGTGAACTTTGTATGCATCCTCCTGTTCAGCTGATTCTGGCCAGAGTTCTTCTCAGAAAAGAACTAAAATATGCTTAGTTCCTTGGGGTACTTGAGCCTAGTCAGCAAGCACTTTGATCAGTCTACACACTTCTCTTGAGTCTTGTCAGATATGAACTCATCATGTAGTACTCATACTAGTTGTCCTTGTGTACCATACATCTGATAGTGGTCTACACTACCTTGAGCTCATTGGCTATAGCTCTTTTCAACTTGACAGGGTTTTTATAATAGTTAATTTCCTATTTATGAGGGCATTCACTTTTGCAGTTAAGAAAACAAGAATAAGGACAACATTTTTATTAATATTTAGTTTATATGATATAACAATATCTAATTTTGTATAACTCTATACATCAATAAACGGTATTTAGAAAAATATGACAAACTGGAAAGGTTTTTTGTGACACGTTTCATCCATTAGGATTTCATTGGACTGGGCTTTGTTGACATTGCCACATCTACACATGCACACGAAATGAGAGGCACAGGTAGTTTCAAAATCTTTTGAAAGAATATTTTTTGAAAGAATTTTTTTTTTAATCTAGCTGAGTTCATCTGTATTCTTTTTCTTTATCTCTCCACCACCTTTGTTCCTGATTATTGCACACTGTGACAATATAAATATAAAAATGGACCACAGTTTTGACATAGGAAATGATACTTTGATTAAAAGAGAAAATAATCTACTGAGACAAAAATGTCTGGAAAGTGCCTTGATTGCTAGTTCAGACACAATAAATTTGAGTCCAGTCTCTTACAATATATCACCATTCCTGGTAGATTTTATATTGTTAGAGTGTGGGATAATCAGGAACAAAGGTGGTGTAAAGATAAAGAAAAAGTATACAGAGGATTTGGGCTAGATTAAAAAAAAAATCTTTCAAAAGATCTTGAAACTTCCTGTGTCTCAATTTGTATGTGTAGACATGGCAACGTCATCAAAGCCCAGTCCAATGAATTCCTAAGAGATGAAATGCATCACAAAAAAACCTTTCCAGTTTGTCATATTTTTCTAAATTTAGTTTATATGTAAATTTAAGAACAGTATTACACAACATGAAATGATAAATGTATATGATGTATGTGGTTGAATAATTTATTTTCTATGTGAGCCATAATTTCACAGCTTAAGTAAGAAGAACTTCCAATTGCAAGTTTATCTGTCTGTGGTTCATGTCTGTAATAGATGCTAATAGTAGTTCTTTAATATAATGGATTGAAATTTAAGAGGTGAGAATAAGGAATGGTTCTAAAGAGCCTCAGTTCAAATGTCAAACAATTTGTCAGGAAGAAGTAAAATGTTAATTAAAAAAATATTTAACAAAGAACTTTTGTTATTGTATAATGCAACTTCTAGAACATTATCCAATTAATAAATTGGGTTTAATATTCTTACAAATGGGGAAGGAGTGTCTGCCTTGAAAATCAGCAGCAAATTTAATATTGATCACTCTCACCAGTGAAGAATACACATCTACCTTAACCATTAAGCATATGTGCATGTGCATTAAGAGTGTGAAAAAAACTTATGCTGTCCCATCATTTTAGTCTTCTTATTGAATGTGCATCTTTTTTAGTATTTACATTTGTAATTTAAATTCTTGTATTACTAATTCTTTATTCATTCATTTAATATTATTAAACATTTTTAATTTATCCTAATTTTCAGAAAATTATTGAAGGAATTCACCAAAATATTTGCAATATTAGTGGGCAAGATATTTCACTTAATATGTATAAATTACATTAAACCACATGTCTTCTTTACAATGTGACAACAGTCTTATGGATTTTACCAAATTTTTCAAGTTTTACATAAATAGCAATGTTACAGAAACACCAATAAACATTATGTTGGAATTAAAATGTATAATTACAGAATACACAAAAGTTTACAGTTTGTAAATTACAAAGATTTACAAAGAGAAATATGTTGAAAAAAATGAAAATGGTGTCATAACAACAAACAACAAAGTTATAAAGATGACATTAATGTGAAATGTGTGCTCCATATTCTGAAATTAGTTTTGTTTTAAATCTATTGATTTTATGAGCCTATATATTTCTTTATATGAAATAGAGTACACAGCACCCACAATAGCATTCCAAGGTTCATTTTTGTTTGTAAATTCTCATATCTCATATAATAATGTAAACCTTTCCATTCAGAATACTTCATAAGTTTTCAATTCAACTGATGTTAACTGAACTGACTAGCTACTTCATCAAACAAGTATCTTTTTAGTTAGATATTTGTAAATTTTCTTGGCCAAATTTGATTGTATATTATCATGCATAAAAATCATCTTTCTGAAACATTGGGTTTCTGAGAAATTCAGGCTCTGAGCTTATTAAACATTTGTCTTTATCCATCAAATCAGCTTTACAACACATTTTAAAACTTCAAATTCATGATGTGGCTATTAATTTTGATACTTTGAAAATCCAATACATTTCAGACAAATGTCTGTTGTCTGTTTATATTTACATAGAATAAACTGGCTTTAATCTTAACTGTGCAGATAGATGTTGTTATCATTTAGTATATAAACATTCATATTTCAATAAGTATTTGTGTTATATATAAAAAAATGAAGTAGTTAATAATGTGGGATACACAGTGTAATTAAAATTGTGTTTTACTAAATTAAGCTGAACTACATCTTGTGTAAAATGTTTTTGAACAACTGTCATTAAAGCACTTTTTAAATAAACTAAATTCTGAAAGAAAGATTGAAAATCAGAAAAGGTTTGATTTATAAACACTGTACATGTGTATAGATTAGGTAATTTCTGTACACACACATATTTCTATCATAAAAATCTGTTACATACATATATAAATTAGAACAATCTAAAAACAATTTATGAAAGGATTTATGTTGACCTAACAGGATTTTTAATTAACATTTTATATTTTGTCCACCAATTATTTATGTAATCATGATATTACAGTTAAGATTTTTAAATCCGGAAGAAAGGGATTGCTAATGGTCAAGAATTAAAGCAAGCATTACCAAGAAAATATAGCTATTATTTCTATAATTTTCAATGTCAATTTTCCTTCTTTTCTTAAGACCCTGAAACAGCCCATGAACAAGGTACCTTGTCTCCTCTCCAAGTAATGGGATCAAAGATGGTCATTAGGTAAAGACATAAATTTTTACTTCTCAATCTTTGGCACAAATTAATTCAGTGTTGTCCAGTGTAAGTTATTTTATTAACTTAGATGAAACTTTGCCTTTTATGAGACAGAAAAAAGTATCAAGATGAACTGTGCCATTCTCAGCAGTTTTTTTTTCTAACACATACTCAAGAAAAAATTGATTTTTTTTTATTTACTTAGTAAAGTTAAGAGAGTCTTATTGGTCAAAATAGGTGTGTCTAAAACAATTTTCAAGTCTTAAAATGCCTCATTTCTACTGGGAAAATGTTCATGCACTTGTTGATAAGATTATCTGAAAAATGGTGTAACAGCCTCAGAATATTTTGGGAAACAAAAAGAAAAGGTTTAAACTTTATATGTACATATGTATGTCATATCTATTTGTATATAGATACAAATATAAATTTAGATTTATATATACAGCCTGAGCCAGGTAATTGAGAACAGATTATTAAAAAAAAAAAAAAAGGTATTCAGTTAAAAAAAGATAAGTATATTTTCAAAAAATGTTTGCAAATATTCAACTTAGAAAAACAGAAAAGGTTATTCAGTAAAACTACCCTCAGCTTCAAAGATGGCTTCAGTGTGACCTCAGAATTGACTGTTTCTACAGACCAAGTTGGCAAGTTGTTTTTACATTCATGATGTTCACAATCTTCTGGTTGGTCTCTCTCTCGATGATATCTTAGATGTATAAATAGTTCAGAAGATTCAAATCTAGAGAGCTAGGAGGTGACATGGAGAGGGTGACATAATGAGGAAAATTCTTAGCCAGCAACTCCTGGGTCATACAGTCCATATGGAATATTGGAATATGTACAGCTTCCACTGTGCCACCATATTTGATATAGACAGTAGCATTGAAGAATTTGGGTGGCATAACATGGTCCTAGTAGTTCACGAACACCAAGATCATCAAAAAACAATGCAAGTTTGGGGTGTACCACACACAGCCACCTGTCATTCTTGCCAGTCTTGTAGAAAAGTGAAATTCTTTTTCATTTAGAATAAGCAAAAATAAATGCTAATAAAAATGAATATGGCAGATGATTGAAAACTTTGCAGCCAAGTTTAGTCTCAGAGAAACATGGCATCTAGCATTTCCTGAAGGAATATTGTCATTTCCTAGAATCCTGACCAGAGCTTTTTCTTTGATTCATGCCTTCAGTTGATCTAATTCATAGCCATACTTGTTTGAATCAATTGTCTGCTTTTCCATAAGAAGCTCAGAATGGAGGACTCATTTCTGATCCTCCTATATCAACAGTTTCACTTAGACAAAGATGAGCCTTTCATATAATTAGAGTTAACAGTTCCTTGGTATGAGAACAGGGTGGAGGCGCATGAACTAAAGAAAAACCGGTACGAGTCACTGCGTGCCGAATGTATGGAAAATGGTTGGATGTGTAAAGTGATGCCTATTAAGATTAGGTGTCGTGGGTTTCTGGGACATTCGGTCATTTCCTTCCTTTTAAAAATAGGTATCACTGGCTGTTGGATGAAAAGCGTTTCGCATCGCCTTCAAAAACTGTTCAACATGCGTCAAGTTGGATTTGGTCAAGATCAGAATGACCAAATAAAGTGCCCACAACATCACGACCTAACATGCGCAAGTGAAATATTTGTGTGGTCGTCTATAACGATTTTTACAAGCGTGTTAATAACGGCAAATGCATTCAGGAAACTTTCATTACAGATAGAATTTTACTTAAAGGAACGATTAATTAGCTTATCTTCATACCCTGCCTGGTGGCAAACACTGCTGGTGGCGCCAGTCCCGCCATAGCCACTGAAACCGTGGTATCACCCCTGGTCGGCGGCTGATGAAGACAGGGTATCACACGTGATAAGACACGTTGTATGTTAAAAAAAAAATAGTGGTTTTTCTTACCACTTGCATTCCATGTTGTTATAAAATATTCACTTTTTATCAATGGTCATGAATTGTTTGAAAAATAAAATTTTGAGATATGATCCAATTTTTTTTTGTGATGGTGGGATGTTTATCTGGAAGTCCCACATTAAGACAATAAATATAACCAAATTGGTGTAAATGATTTTCAATGTTCAATTCAGATATTTTGACATTACATTCCAGCATCATGTTGATTATTCTCAAGTTTAGATTTGTTTGCTATCAATCTGGTCAACCCAAATACCAATTATCATTTAGCAGAAAATCTTCCCAACTATTTTTAACACATTCAATCATTCACTGTCACTTCTTCATAAATTGCACAAATACTTTTTATGGTTGAAATAAATTTTTCAAAATAAGGATGCATAATATGCAAAAATGTTGCATGCATTTTCCCATATTCACTTAATAAATATTACAATTTTGACAATATTTTTTTTTAAATTTTCCTGATGATACATTTTTTGCAATACAATCTAAAGTGATTTGTTTTGATGAAATTAAATTTTGTGTAGGTCACCCATAAGAGATTTAATGAGCTTGATATTGCAGTATATTTGTCTTAAAGAATACTGTTTATGAAACTATTTAAAAAAATTACCTATATTTTCAGTAAACTGAAATGTAATGTTCATGGCTTTTAGCATCAAATACAAAATATTTTCAGACCATTTATTCTGTATTTTAATTCAGTTATTTATTCATATCAGAATATTTTACATTGTTTTACTCAGAATAGTGTTCTTATCATGGTGGTTCTAGTCACATTGTTTTGACCATTATACTCTCCAGTCGTCATCAGGTGTCTTACACTTGGATTTTAAACCAAAAAAATTATTACTTTGTATAGCAATCCAATTTTTTTTTCAAAATTTAGTTTTGAAAAATCTCCAAAAATACTGAAAAATATACAGAAAAGTCTTTATTTATTTATTTTCTTTTTTGTGTGTGTGTGTCTTTCAAAGATATGGAGAAACACTTGGCTTGTTGTCAGAAAATGGGGATTACTTTGATGGATTACGTCAACTGCTTCAACTCACAAGTGCTCATCTATCTCATCAACAGCAAACAATAAGAAAGAAACCAATTGACAATCAACCAAGTATCCTTTATTGTTTGTGTCAGGATAACACTTCATTTTGCTTAAACAGGCAGTTCACAAATTAGACAACTGAAAAGTACATCTATTTTTCAAATATATGGTTGCATAAGGATATGTATTCTTTGATTTGTACATGATATTTGTTGCTTTTTATCCTATTCTTAAGCATTTAACTTAAATATTAGAAATCATAGCAAGTTTATCTTATATGAAAGTTAATGCTAATGTTTTAAATTCCTGCAATTTAATTTTAAAACCATGACTATATTGGATGGAACTGACAACAGTAGTAATAAATTGTGAGATTAGATCCATCACAATGTACTTAAAATATTTATAAAGTTTAGTCCGGTACAATGCTAAATTAATGGAATACAATGATGTTGAAAGTCATTACAGACATAATAGTCGGCTAAACTCCCTTACAAACTAAAAAATTCCACTTAAATAAAGTAATGGTGGCTCTTTTTTATTTCACACACACACATACACACATATCTCTATCCAAACAAGTTTGATTAAGAAGAACCAACAAGATGTTGATGTAGATAATCTGTCTCATTCATATTTTGTTATTTTTCTTCTAGTACTTTCACAATCATTATCAAGAACTGATGTGGTGTCTTTGTGGTAGTTAGAATTCTTTTGTGTACATCCTGGAATTCTTTGGGAATCTGGACATTTGAAATGGTCTAGCATCATATCATGTGTAACAACAACTGGGAATGAGGCTGCACAAAAAGAATGTGATTTATTTTATTTTAATACTAATATAATATGTATACACATTAATTATATCATATGCACTTCAAGATACTATCATGCACAAAAGGTAGTCTTCAAGAGCCTCACATACATACACCTGGATTCATTATTGTGAAAATACTAAAGAACATTGCATTAAATAGGCTATCATTTTATGAAAATTAACTCCTCACAAACCAGATTTTCATTCTGGTAAGAGGTGTAATGATGGCATATATGTCAGCAAACAATTCCAGGTGATTGCATACCTCTGTAATAGAAAATTATATTCCTGCTATGTTGACTTCACAACAGTATATGACCACAGCAATAGAGACAACTTCTCATCTATTAGAAACTATCTTCCAAGATTTCACTGAATGCCTCAATCTAATAGAGGAACTATATTGGTTTACAAAGTCATATGTCTCTTGAGGACCCAATACAAAAAAAAACTTCAAACCTCATCAGGAATACAGGGAGGAAATAAGAGAACCAGTCTATATAATCTTTTCCTAGGCTATGCCTCGTGCATATACAAGCATAGATGTAAAGAGATGGGCACTGATCATTTAAACATTCCATACCACATCCCAAACAAATTTAAGAGAAAATGTTTTTACTTTTCCTTCCAAGACCAATGTACTCATAACAAGGAGAGGGCTCTATGCAATTGATATAAGTATTCATAGTTAGGATAAGAATGATCTTGAACAAAAAAAAAACATCAACATCCTCTACTAAGTGTTCTAAGAAATAGGATGCAAGATAAACCTTTCCAAAACAGAAACGATGATCTGGAAGCAGTGATGGCATCTACACTGAATCCATTATAAAAATTCAGAATGGGGAATTAGTAAATGCTAAACAGTTTATGGATCAGTTATAAGAAAATTAGCCTAGAAGAAACTGAGCATAGAATAGGCTGAACTAGAGATAATTTTGCTCAACACCACAAGTTACTACAAAACCAAACATTAACCTAAAAACGAGTCATGTCCTAAAATATCCTTGTCAGATAAAGACTTTCAAATGTCAAAATATAGAGCCAAACTCATTTTGAAATATCTAAACTATTAGCTGTATAAAACTGTTTTCACAGATCAATGATTAAAAATAGGTTTGAACAAATAAAACCTGTAGGTACTAGTGAGTTCCATCCTTTTTTAAACCGAGTGGACTGGTGCTACAGAATCACAAACTGTACCAAATAATAAAAACTACATTACTTGTGGACTTACTACTTCAAACAAAAGTTTTGGAAAAAAACCACCCCCATCAATGCTGAAAAGAGCAATATCTGTGAACTTGAGAAGTCTATTTTTCCTGAAATTTGATTTTAAGAGAAAGATTTTAGAAATTTCACCTGAAAGTAGAACTCGCTGCTCAGACAATGAATGCCAAATGTTGTTTTATAAGAAAACAATTAATATTACTCTTATTTCCGGATGTCTATTTCTCCACCAAACTCAATTCATTAGAATCCTAACAATAAGTTTAGTTATGTGGCTCCTGTCTCATAGATCCTTTCTGATAGTTATCATTGTATTTGTGCAAATAAATAATACATCCCTTAAACTCAGGAGAGCATGCTTTCTATATGAAGTTATGGTTTGAACAAAGTTCTATACATTGAAAACATACTTTTATACAAAGTATTTCTACCACACAGTGGTAATACCTATATTCAGACTGCTGAGATATATATATCTTGGTTATACCACTACTACTTAAAATTAATTATGAATACTGCACAAATGTTTTAAAATGTTTATAGTAGATAGTTTAAAATATCTATTAACTAATAGTTTTAAATTTCGATAACTTAGTTACCTCCCTTGATGTTTACATCATAAAATTTAAAAATCTTACAGTATATAACCTTAGCATTTTTCACTTCGCAAGTAAAATTTAATTTTCAGATGAACACAACAATTTTATCTTAGAAAAAACATGACCCTGATGATGACATTTTGCTAATGTTGAAAGTACTTAGAATAAAATGAACATGCATCAACATGGTAATTTTCTTTCTACCTTCAATGATACTAAGAAACTTCTCCATAATTATGAGAGAATCCTATTAAAAATAAGTAGACAAAACTTATTTAATAAGATGTCAAAATTAATGTGTCTGTTTGTGTGTACCTGAAATAAAATGGGTTCCCAGATTAAAAAAGGAATACAGGTTTGATTCTTGTTGGGGGTATATTCCTTTAATAAGACTTTCAATTCTTAGGTTGATTCATTAGATATTAATTTAATTTTTTGAAAAATGGGAATCTCTACTCAAACACATGTCCACACTAACAATAATATTTATAGTAAT